CTACTAGTAAGGCACTTGTTACTACTAGCGATGCACTTGTTCCTAGTGCTATGAAAAGGTGGGGAGGCCGGATGCCGTGGGGGGGCGGAGCTTGAGACGTGTCACAGGCCGAGGCCGCAAAGCCTTGCTGGGCCGTTTGCGGCGCTTCCTGGAAGAGCTCACCTCGTCCAAGACACCAGAAATGAAGGTCAGAAATTGAGACGAAAAGAAGCACATCAGGCATTGGACACTGGATTTTCCAAGGAATGTTTTCGAGTTCTACAAGAGTTGAGTAGCAACAGTTGTACATAGTAGAAGGCTTTGCAACGTACTTACCTGCATCCTTGGACGTTGTTCCAGGCGTTGATGCAGCTCTACAAGTCGTCGCCAACTCAGTGGTTTGGGCTTGGCCATGGGCATGAGAGGGGTAGCAAACGTAGGGGGTAAGTGGTAATAAGTGGTAATGTTCTTGTAAAGAATCGGACAAAGCTCAATCTAAATATTGCAGGCCAGCTGATGCCTTCAAGATGAGTGCAAGTGGAAAGGTGCCAAGAGATAGAAGTTCTGCTACAAAAGCGCCGGTTCTTCGATGCCTTTGCTGTGTCCCTTGCCGCATGGAGGTTACGCGGGCAGGCTTCATTGAGGGACTGCATCGCCTTCGCTACGATGAGCGACTGAGATTCAAGCAAAGCTTTTGAAGACCAATAGCAGCGACTCCGAACGTAGCGTCCTCTTGTTACTAGTAGCGATGCCAGGAGCCCCTAGTAGCGAACATTGCTCCTAGTAGTACGGCCAGGAGCCATCCTTGCTCCTAGTAGCGATGCCCTAGACCTTTGATCCTTTCTTTCTGGTTTGGCATTCAATCTCTGAACTTTCCACAGAGTTTTTCAAGAGTCTTTGGAGAGGTGGATCATCTTGTGCTCGGTTTGGTATGCATTTGAGCACCACATCCCAGGTGGCACGTGGATGACCTTTTTACCAGGCCTGTAGTTGTGACATTGTGCCTGAGTATCGCTAGTAGGTTGGAGGCCATCGCTAGTAGAAACACAGAAAAAAGAAAAGCAAGAAAGGTCTTTTTAGCAGCTTCCTGTTCCTAGTAGTTAGTAAGGCTAGGAGCCCCGTTCGTAGCGTCCGATCGCTCCTAGTAGCGATGCCCTGGAGCTCCTAGTAGCATTCTTGTTACTACTAGTAAGGCACTTGTTACTAGAAGCGATGCACTTGTTCCTAGTAGCATTCTTGCTCTTGTGTTTTGAGTCATCTCGAGTCGTGAGATGTCGGGAGTCGCGAGGATTGATCGCGATGGATCTGGCGACATTACCATTGAAGACATCCTGGGCTTCCTCAAAGAGGTGCAACAAACTCTGTCGACAATTGACCTGAGTTGTGTCAAAGCCGAGTGCTGCAAAACTGGATTTCGACAGCATGTTGGACTTCACTTCCTGTTGCGAACAAGACGAGCCTGGCAGTATCCTTACAGTATCCTTACCCTTACCCTTTGCACCAGGGTGGACACCTGCTAGCAATGGCCTCCAACCTAGTAGCGATGGCCTCCAACCTGAACGAACAAAGCACCCGTGTGTTTCAGCCCGCCCAGCTTGTGAATCAGGCTGGCCCCGGTGGCCGATACGCGAGACCGGTGCCAGTTCATTCCAATTTGTTAGCAAAGGAGCGAACGACGGGCCGGTCATCTCCCCAGAACACATGCAACACAAAGAAGCAAAGAAGCTACTAGGAACAAGTGCATCGCTTCTAGCAACAAGTGCCTTTCTAGTAGTAACAAGAATGCTACTAGGAGCTCCAGGGCATCGCTACTAGGAGCGATCGGACGCTACGAACGGGGCGCCTGGCCTTACTAATTACTGGGAACAGGAAGCTACTAAGCTACTGTTAGACCTTTCTTGCTTGGCTTTTTTCTTTGTTTCTACTAGCGATGGCCTCCAACCTACTAGTGACGGCCTCTAACCTAGTGCGAAGGACACTATAGCAAGTATGTAAAAAGTATGTTGTCTTTCGCTACCTGTCTTTTTTTGCCACGTTTCGTCTTCGCTTCTTCTTTTGCTTGGAAAAATCTTGAGACTGCTGAAGGTTTAAGCGGCTTATATCCTGAGTTCCGTACAAACTCACAGATTCACGAAACGGGAGAGCTTTTCCACGCTGTCAGTGGGGTAGGCATTGGGGTGAATAGCTTCCTTGAAGTCAAAGCAAGAAATGGTTCTGAAGTTCTGAGGCTGGTGCCGCTGAATCACTGCTCTATCGATGCCTCTGCAAAGCTCTCTCAGCTGAATGACTGGTTCAGCGACGAGAGGCCGAGCCACGCCACTGCCTTCGAACTGTTCAGCGGTTCGAACTACACCCCCTGTTACTACTAGCGTCCTTGTTACTACTAGTAAGGCACTTGTTACTAGAAGCGATGCACTTGTTACTAGTAGCTTCTTGTTACTACACCCCTTCTCGATTCACTTCGGCTTTAAACCGTGTAGCGGTGAGGAGGGTGGTGTTGGCCGAGGAGGGTGGTGTAGCGCGATGAGGGTGAGTCCACCGATGGAGCTGATCATTTGCGGGGAAAAACAAAGACATTGATTGCTGTGGCTATTAGGCCATCGCTTGTAGGTTGGAGGCCATGGCTAGTAGGTTGGAGGCCATCGCTTGTAGGTTGGAGGCCATCGCTATTAGTAAACAACAATGACATAGGCCATTATTTTGGGATCAGCGGCAGTAACACATGCCGTCTAAGCAGGGCATTTGGAGATTTTAAGAACCGCAGACACTGAGAATCAGTGCGCATGGTGAACAACTCGGAGAATTTCAATGTTCTTTGACCATGATTATACAATCATTAGGTTGGAGGCCATTGCTATTAGGTTTTCATCAAGTTTATTAGTATATTAGGTTATCTGTTATGCAAGCTGTTACTAATAGCTTCTTGTTACTACTAGCCATGCACCTGTTATTACTAGCGATGCACTTGTTACTACTAGAATATAGGTCCTGCAATCATTTCAGCACGTCGACACAGGATGGCACAACGGGAGGTGCTGAAGAGCGCTCGGCGGCCCATCACCTCCCCGAAAACCACGATGCTCCTCTCCTCTGCTTCCGTGCCCACGCTGAGAAAAGACCCGCGAAGGACGTGGTACGGCGGAAAGACACGAAAGACGCAAGAGACACGAAAGACGGTTTGCTGCTAGGAGCAATGTTTGCTACTAGGGGCTCCTGGCCTTACTACTAGGAGCAATGTTTGCTACTAGGAACAAAGAGACACCTGTTTTTTTTTTTTTAAACTTACCGAAAACATCAAGTTTTGTTGGTTTTGATTTAACATAGTTATATATTGTTATACACATTTTTCGTTGGCCTGGGTCCGGCGAGCACAACGGTTATATACAGGGTTCTCTTCTTTTTCCCCAGTGCTTTTAATTCCATCCTTTCTAATTCTAATTCTAAGGCACTTGTTACTAGAAGCGATGCACTTGTTCCTAGTAGCTTCTTGTTCCTACTAGTGAGGCACTTGTTACTAGTAGCGATGCACTTGTTACTAGTTGCTTTCTTTCCTTTTGTACGATTCCTTCAAGTTGTTTTCTTCCTTCGTGAAAACACATACAAAAGGGTTTGGGCTACTGTCAGTCGCAAAGAGAAAAATCAATGAAAGACCTGAGACCCCAGAACTAGCAGCTAGTATCCTTGTCAGCTGCAGAGGACCTAATCAGAGAGAGCCAAAGAAAACATGCTTTAATGCAAAATGGGAAGAGTAGGAAGAAGGGGACGAATAGGACGCTTCAGAGGCTTTAAAAGCCAAGCGGCGAAGCTTTTCAGAAGACATGGTTGGAGCAAAACCACATGCGAAAAGCGGGTACGGTGGATACCGCGGCTTCGATTGCAGGATGGGTACCACGACCAGGTGGCAAGGCACCGTGCGACACATGTGACGGACCGCCAGTGGACCACTTCTCAGTCACTCCTAGGCCATCGCTCGGGTTTTTCGGGCATCGCTCTATATTCAAGACTAGCGATGGCCTCCATCCTAGTGACGTCTGACTCTCGACTCTTGTGGGAACACACTCTTGGAGAATTCTCACATCTCATTCTGTTCTGGATACCGATGAAATTCCGGTCCAATCTTCTTAAAGAATTAGATAACGAAGAGACCATTGCTATTACTATTTTGACTCTTTATAGAAAGACATGATGCATGACTATTTCATGCAATCACGTGATCTTGAATTTCGATTCTGATGCACTGCTCCCTGGCAGTCCGGTCGCAGCACAGTCTCAGCGAGGCTTGGGCGTTTTTCAATTCCTTCACAGGGAGATCAAATTGTTCCTAGTAGCAAACATTGCTCCTAGTAGTACGGCCAGGAGCCCCTAGTAGCGTCCTTGCTCCTAGTAGTGATGCCAGGAGCCCCTAGTAGCTTCTTGTTCTGGTCTGAGACTTGCCGTCTAGCGAAATGGTGAGAACTCATGAGAGATCAAATAGTTGGATGAACCAGCATGGAGTGGTGAAGAGTCTAGACTGTCACTGTTTTGGTTTTCGAACTTAGTATTGGCTTGAGACATGACTAGCATTGGAAGAACATGCAACCTGTCATGGCCTTAAAACATTCTCAACCTGAAGGATTAACACACGTTTGTATCACTTTCTTTTGGTCTTCTGCAAGTTTCAAGTTCTTTTGTTGGTCTTTGCATTTGTAGTCCTTTGTCCATTTCTTCTTTTTCTTCTTCTTGGCACATACTGTCACCAGTTTTGCAGAGAGTGAAGCTTGGCTTAGGGTGCTGTAGAGGGTCGTGTGGAGGGTGCTGTCGACAATGTCTTGGACATGGAACTGCGGTGTGCGTGGTTGAAAAGGCTGTCTATGCCATCCATGCGGTTGAAACTTTCAATGAACGAACCTAACGAAGGAAAGACGGACGATCAAAGATCTAAAAGAAGAAACCCACTAGCAATGGCCTCCATCCTATTTTTGGAAACCAACAAGGAAATATCCCGTCGACCCCAACAGTGTGGGGGATGGTGCCAGCCTGGCACGAAACACATGTGGGACCCACCCCACGCGAAGCCCTGATCTAGAACCTGTCCTTCACACTTACCGCAAGACCCCGTAGAGTGTCCTCTCGACAACACTCAGGAAAAGAATCCTCATTGTTGCTTTTTAAATATGCTTTTTCTTTTGTTTAGCCTTTTTCTTTAGACAGTTTCTTCTTTTTTTATGTTGTTGGAAACACATAGTCTATACAAAGCTTCAGTGCCTTTCCGCATTTTTCTGCTAGATCCGGGAGCCTCGAGAACTCATCTACAGCTACGACCCAGCACCGGATTTGGTGTGAGGACCCAGTCAAACGTTGTGTGTTGCAGCGCTCTTAGCTTAAGCAGCTTGGTCTATTGAAGGTAGAGTATTTCAACTCAACTAAATATGTAAATAGAGACTAGAGATGTAAACCATTTTGTTAGCCAAGCATTCGCTGTTCCTCTACCTATTCAATCTTCTTGCTCGGAAAATGGAGCTTCGATGAACAGATCCCAGACAACTAGATCAGCTAGTGACATAGATCAGCTTGATGCCCATACTCTAGAGTCAGACATTTGAAGGATTCTCCGATCCTCAAAAGTGTTAAGTAATCAGCCTTGCTCTAAGAGCCTCATGAGACTGACTATTTGACATTCCTTGAGATATCTTGAACTGCCATGGTGCAGCTGGTGGGCGCAACTGTTCGAGTTGTCGACACTGGACCGCTGCATCTCGGCGAACTTTGTGCGATTGGACAACCCACCACCGCTGGCCCAGTCGCGTATTACACAGTCTGCTTGCTGCCAGGTTTGATTATAGAATTGTCGAGTGTTGGAGGTTGTAGGTTGGAGGCCATCGCAATTAGGTTGGAGGCCATCGCTACTAGGGTGGAGGCCATTACTACTAGTAGCAAGAAGCTAGTAGGTTGGAGGTTGTCTGAGGACCATTGACGAGCTCGCTGGAAATGTAGCGACCAAGAACGATCGGATCAGTATTGCTTTGGTCAAGGCGCAGGGCAATCTGGCAGTGTCAGGATTGGTAAATTGGCATCGTGCTTGGAGATGTTCTACTTTATTATCAGCTATATCAGGCTAGATCTTTTCGGGCAGCTTCATTATTCTGATTCTGCCAGAATTTTGTCAGCCCCACTCATTGAACATTGCACTTATTTGTTAGAACCTGCTGCCTAATTCGTTGTTGCACAGATTTTGGCAGTTTATACTTAATGTCCCCTCACCACAAGCGACAAGCAAACTGTTTGGAGACGAATCACATTTGTTTGCAGATCGCCGAGCCAACCAGTGAGCCCTGGCTTACTTTACACTATGATGAATGGATGTGCGTGACTTGTCTGAATAGCAACGGTCCATGAAATTTGAAAACAATGCCGAGGAAGAACACTTTTTACGTAAGGTTTGTCATTTTTTGACCACATTATGTATTTTTAGATTTATTTAACAACACAGATCTATTTAAACACATGGTCTTGTGCTGATAAGCTGCTGAGTTCACGCATTCCCCCAAGCTTCATGAACGTTTCTTGAAGATGCGGGCAGCTGAGGTGTTGAAGGGTCGAATGGCTTTGGCCTTAAACCAATTTGATAGATGCAAGGTGTTTGCATCTTGTGTTAAACGGAGAAATTGAGCAGTTCATCATGTTCATCTGGAGGTATTGCTTCATGGTGAAGGCAGTCTGGAGGCAGATGTTGGATGTTGAAACATGTTGAAGCTTCAGCAGGCCATCGCAATCAGGTTGGAGGCCCTCGCAAATAGGTTGGAGGCCATTGCTAGTAGGTTGGACGCCATCGCTCTTAGGTTGGAGGCCATCGCTCTCAGGTTGGAGGCCATCGCTAGTAGATTGGGTAGGTTAGAGGCCATCGCTAGTGGGTTGGAGGCCATCGCTCTTAGGTTGGAGGCCATTTGTTTGATGTGCGCTTCGGCGCCAGGTGCGTGCCGGCCAGACGGTCTTCATTGCGAAAGGCGGGTCTGGTGAGTTTGGCCAGATGCCCTTTGCTCCTAGTAGCTTATTGTTTCTAATAGCTTCTTGTTACCACTAGTAAGGCACTTGTTACTAGAAGCGATGCACTTGTTCCTAGTCGCGTTCTTGCTCCTAGTACCGATGCCCTTTGCTTCTAGTAGCGATGTGTCTGGCGATGTTGACGGGTCGCTTCAAGAGCTGCCAGGAGAGCGCTTCAGACCCACCTTTCCCGATGGGGACACGGAGTACGTGCCCGTTTGTCTTCCGGCCTTCTGACTTGGAAGCATCAAAGGCATTCGAGAGGTAGTGAAGCGATAGTTAAGTGCAAGAACGCGACTAGGAACAAGTGCATCGCTTCCAGTAACAAGTGCCTTACTAGTAGTAACAAGAAGCTATTAGAAAACAAGAACGCTACTAGGAGCAAAGGGCATCGCTACTAAGGCACGTTAAGGAAGGACATACTGACTTCTGGTCACAAGAGGAAGTAACGAACAGCGTAGGTCTAAAAAGCTTCTAAGACGAACGTGACGTTCTCATGCCAAGGCATTCCGACCTGATCGTTGCATTCGGGAGGAGACTGAGAGCTCTTCGACTGCATTTGCGTTTGAGTTTGTTTCGAGTTAATGCTATAGTGTTACTAGTAGCGATGCCCTGGTTACTAGTATATAGCTTCTAGCTACTAGTAGCTTCTTGCTGAGTATGCAGATCGCTCTGAAACATCATTGTTTGCAGCAGAAACGGATACTGTTTTTCTCATCGAACGTGTTCTTGCTCCTAGTAGTAAGGCCAGGAGCCCCATTCGTAGCGTTCTTGCTCCTATGTCACACAGTGGGCTTCGTTGGCCTCCAACCTAAGAGCGATGGCCTCCACCTAATAGGTGGGTGAGACGAGGTGATACCCGACAAACGTTTGTCGATCATCGTTCTTCGTCGAATCGGGTTGACTATATCGTTCGCCTGAGTTGTTCGCTTCCTTGACAAGTTCGCAGCAGAAATCCAGACAAAGAGCCACTCCATTGATTTGTTCGGACTCAGGCGATGTGAGCACAAAGCTGCAGGAGCTCCATGGTGAAGCGGGCACAGGCGCTCCAGGCTGCACGGAGATGTTCAAACACTTTGTTACTAGTAGCGTCTTTGCTCCTAGTAGTAAGGCCAGGAGCCCCTAGTAG